GGTAAGATAAAACAAATAATTAAATATTAACATCTAAGGCTAATATTCTGCTTGGGCTGGATTTGTATTTTCATTATTTTTTTTTCTATTAAGAAGACCCTTAACCCCACATTGCCTGAACCCCCCGCTGAAAGAACAAGGCCTTGTCTTTGATGACGGAGAGTTCCCAGAGATGCTTGGCACTTGTTGGCCCTTTTGCCTTCACTCTGTGGTCCAGCCCCCCACAACTCTCCTTATTGGTCAAATAGCCCTTACACAGCCTGTGTGTGAATCTACAGTCAATTTGATCTGTACTGTATATTTACAATATAAAGTCATTCTCATCAAAGTGTTTAAATCCAGGCCTTGACATTAACCTTTGTTTCATATTTCTCAATAAAATGAGTTAACAAGAGTCTCTCAGCCCAAAAAGTCAAATAATCACTAACAGGGCTCTTAAGTATGCAAAATAATTAAAGCAAATAGCCTGTTCTGTGATCTGTTTGATTTGTTCACAAAATGTTACTTTTGTGCACAAATAACATGCATTGTTAATTCATTGGGGAAAATTTGGTATCCAAGCTTTAATTTCGGAAGTTCTGGTTGCGCTACGGCTACTTACGGAGCCTTACTATTTACCGTCTATGGCAGGGGTTAAAGCAAAAAAAAAAGATTTGACTGAAAATTTTCGCATGGAAATTTATCACATGTAAATCACAGTAATATGCAGGACCAAGTTATATTTGTAATTACAATATATTATTGTATAATAGATTGTATATTGAATACAGCTCAAATGAATTCTTCAAAGATATACAGTGTATTTTGATATGAAATATAAGTGGATCAAGCAACGAGTAAACTTTTTGACAGAATATTAGTGAGAGTAGCTTTACTTGAGGCGATATGGAGCGTCAACACTTTGGCTCTGTCCTCGTCAAAATATTGCAAAAGGACGAGAAAATTCTGTCCACATTTGTTTGTGGACGCACGTCAATATTTAAGAAAAAGGTTTCCCTATCAAGTTTGAGTGCACAGTGCACTTCGATCAACTGCAAATGATTTAAATAAATCTACCAGCGGTAGTGATATTCTGAACGTTATTTTCTGCGACAAAGCCACAGACACGGTCCGTCAGAGCAAGCCTAGTGTCAGTTGTTGCTGATGCACCAGGTAAAGATGAAATGTGGGAAAGTGCACAAACAGCTGCCTTGTGCGCAGTTTTGAGCTGGTGGCGAATCAAAACTTTTTTCTCATTACTCCCATACATGCAATTTTTTATGGCAAAGTACGCATGCAAGCACCGGCCACTTTCATCTTTTCGCACCATGACTCGTTGACAGTGATGGGAATAACGGCGTTACTAACGCCGTTACTTTTTTCAGTAACGAGTAATCTAACTAATTACTTTGACAGTAACTATAACGCCGTTATCATTTCCGACATCCCGTTACTGCGCGTTACTCAAGACGCACAATGAACGTGTTGTCATGAGAGAAGGGATGATGAGAAAACCTCTCAGCAATTATTGGCTGATGTAAATCATATTTCCTTTACAATCCACATGTTTACAGTTGAGAGGATGGCTCATAAATTGTGTTTTTGAAACAAATATGGGTCTTAATCGCGCTCAACCACAGCTTGTATCACCGTGAGGTCAGCCACAGAGGAGCGCATGTGAGCGCAGAAGTCGGCTGCATACAATTCCATCGATAAGCTCCTTGCTCTTCCTGGTTTATCTGCTAAGGACAGCAACAGGTTTGGCTAACATACATATAACACATTTTTACATAATCTAAAATGCACATAGGGTAATTTTTCAATTACTATAGGAATGATAAGAAAGAGAGGTGAAGTGTAAGACGGTTGATTTTAGAAATTGGATGCAGCCGGCTGCAGCAAAACAGAGGAGTTTACGGAGGACACACGCGTTTTGTTTTACTTTTTAAAACTCATTGGACTCATTTCCAAATGGAGGATTACATATCTATGCTCAAACCATTCACTGGATTTAAACAAGGAACTGGTCTGAACCGAAGTGGAATGTGCAGGTCATTTATAAGGTATAGCTATAAGGTAAGACCCATAACTCATAGTTTTGCGTTTTGTATGAACAAACAATGCGGGCATAAAACATATTTTGCTGTAGCCAAACAAATTGTCCACTTGATTTATATGTTGTATATGTTCATCTGATTGGACTGAAGTCAGTGCTTCACTGGTGTTTCCACATTCACAGTGGCGGGTGTTTGTGTTTAGTGCTTACAGCACAGAGAGAGATGAAGAGTGAACAGGACTTCAGCAGCAAAACAGCCTTTTCTAGATGGAAATATTGGCACTGTTAAAGGTAAAAATGCGCACGTCGGGTGTACATTATGTTCCAGAACAAAACGAAAAAGTAACGCAATAGTTACTTTTACTGGTAACTAGTTACTTTTATAGTGGAGTAACTCCGTTAGTAACTCAGTTACTTTTTGGGAGAAGTAACTAGTAACTATAACTAATTACTTTTTCAAAGTAACGTGCCCAACACTGCTCGTTGATTGGCTCTTTTACATCACGCTGAGTTTTGCAAGAAGATCGCAAACAAGACAATATCAAAAGCTCACCAAGACATGTTTGTCCCCATTCCCAGTTGCAGCAAAGTCCGTTTTGTACATTCCGTTAAGTAAAATAGCATTGCGTTTGGTAAACGTTAATTATAGGGCTGGGATAAACGATTATTTTTTAAACGATTAATCTAGCGATTATTTTTTCGATGCATCGATTAATCTAACGATTATTTTTTTCGCTTCGATTCGATTTCGATTCGATTCGATTCTCGATTATCTCCCCATTAATTGACTAATATTGATGTATACATGTTGATTTAAATATTTTAATGATAAAAACATGAATTCCTTCACAAAAAATATGTATTGCTTGCACTTAAAAAATAAGACATTCTTAGAGGTAGCATAAAACCTTAAAGCCTTGAAAACACAGCTTACTGAAAAAAGTGCATCTTATCATTCTTGAAACAAACATTTGATGCTTAGCATTCAATAAAAATATGAAAAAGTTCAGCCAAATACTTGTGTAGAGCAACTAAAAGAAAACAGTAACCAATGTAAACTTGAAGGCTTTAAGCTAAACAAAGAGTGCTTTTCCAGCAAAAACAGTGGGAGCCATCAGCCTGTCATGGCTACATAAGAGTGTAGAGTGGCCACAGGACGCGTCATCAGCCTACGTCAGCAGCTGCGGACTGCTATGAAAACATTAGCTTTGTGGTTTCACAGGCGCAGTTGACTGCTTAAACTAAACTTTGCACGAAACTTTGACTCTTAAAACCCACATGTGACAAAACGGAACCATCAACATATCGCCTCAAATTGCATTAAAAGTGACATTCGTGTCTGAATTCGTTGGTATTTTAACTTTTAAAGAAATTCACGGTCCGCCATCTTGGTTTGCTTCGGCTGCCGTGAGACGCGCATGCGCAGGTTTGCATTACATGATAAACAGCTGAGGCTGTGCATCTCTTCAAGGCAGTGTATCTCAGCGTTACACCGGCTTGCACTTCTCTAACACGGCACTTGCATTGCTACCGCTCGCCGCCATCTTTGTTTTGTGTGTGACGCACCGACGCGCATATTATACGTCGGTGTATTTTTTGCGTCGACGTCACCGATTACGTCGACGCGTTGTCCCAGCCCTAGTTAATTACCTTTCGTCTATTACGCGCCCAGCTTACCAGTCCGCGGATCTGCTGCTGTTATTGCTCCGTTCGAGATTCAATTTTCCTCCTCTTCTCCTTTTCAAAAGCTCCGTGCAGTTTCCAGAAACTTTCACCTCCGTGTTACCAATGCTAACTTCATCGCGTCTTCATTTGTGCGTGAGCTCAGCTACGTCCCATTGCCTTGATTCATTTGCGGAGCGCTCATGTGGCCACGGCACGTTCAAGGCCCACTCGTGATTATATTACTTATTATTTCTATATACATATAAATACAATTATATTCAAATTATTAATATACATCGATATATATATATATATATATATATATATATATATATATATATAACAGATTCACACGTACATGTATTACTATATATTATTTTTATAATCAATCATTTCATTGTGTGTATTATTATCATTATATATATATATATTTTTTTTTTCCAGACCAATTTCATTTGACGGAAATCCGTCACCTAGACGGAACTCTTTAATCCCTGGTCTATGGAGGAGACACAGGAGAGACACAGTGGTTCTGCTTGCGCGTCTATGGTTCTGTCCACGCGAATATGGTCGGCACTCGGTACCCCTTTACGGATGTCCTGAGCTGTTTATGGATTCGCTGAGCTGTTGTCAAAGCGGCTGTCAGTACAAAGCGGCCACAGCTGCCCCGGGGTCAGAGTGGAGGATGTGAATCCTGTTCAGAAATGGCATAATTCCTTTTCAAAGACCTCGCAGTCACATTCACTTCTCACTAGCAACAACGTTCCTCGGTCCCTGTTACATTTGTTGGCTGGTCCAATTCTTACATTTCTCGCCACATGCTCCTCGCTACTTGTTACATCCGGTGGTCGCATCCAATTCTTATGTATCAAAGTAATTAGCTATCTGTTGCCACCTACTGATATTACAATAGGTATTACGTGGTTACTCCACAGTTCAAAACAAGTCAGCTTGCCAACGGTGGATGCAGTTATTTTTAGACAAAGTAGGCAAATTTCTCACGGCACACCAGACATTATCACACGGCACACTAGTGTGCCATGGCATGGCCATAGAATTTTGAAGGCACTCGTCAAACAAATGGGGCTAGTGCCAGCTTAACATTTCACATTTTCCTGCCCCCAAAAAAAGCCCCATAGAAGAAGTGATGACGGATTAGTTGGAACGGCAGAGATAGGCGGCACTAAGTCCTTTAATATAATACACTCTATGGGTGGGACTCAAAACCCTCGACTCCCTGAACCTGAGGACTGGTCCCCAGCTGTTGGGAGTTGGCGGTTCTGTGAGGCCCTCGAGACGACTATTGTTGATAACTCCTCATTTTCTCCTGCTGATACCTCCTGCACTTCTTCTGCTGATACCCCCTGATCTTCTCCTGATGATTCCTCCTGCACTTCTCCTGAAGATTCCTCCTGCACTTCTCCTGCTGATTCCTCCTGCACTTCTCCTGCTGATACCTCCTGCACTTCTCCTGCTGATACCTCCTGATCCTCTCCTGCTGATACCTCCTGATCTTCTTCTGCTGATATCCACCGCACTTCTCCTGCTGGTACCTTCTCCAGCTGATTGTCGACTGTTACAAACCTGGAACTGTAAAAAATCTGTAGGAGAACCTGCTCAGCAGGTTGGTGTTTGGTGTTATGATATAGCTTTTATGAAAAATATTAATTCCCACCTCTGCACCTTCTCCACCGACTCCCACTGATGACTGCTGTCGTTGTGTCCTTGGGCAAGACACTTAACCCCACTTTGCCCAAAGCCCCCGCTGAAAGATCAAGGCTATGCTCACAGTCAGAGAGAAGCCGTCCTCCTGTGGACTCACCACCTGCAGAGGGTCAGTGAGGGGCTGGTGCTATGAGACTTGGGTGGCATCTCTGACTGCCACCCCCCTGACCCAGAAATGGATTAAAGGGTAGAAAATGGATGGATGGATGGAAAATATTAATATAACTCACGTAATGCTGGAGTCATATGAGCAAAGTCATCAATTTCAAAAAAATATCACAGTGTTTAATTCTTCTTTTAGTCACTGTGGTGGGTCATTTTGACTCAAGGATTAGTTTATTGAAAACACACCCCAAACAACATGTGCTAATTATATACAGTAAAATAATATGAATAACAATAACAACAGCGATAATACAATACAATGCTTTACAATCGTAGGGTATCATTATTATACAACCAATGTAGTATTATCAATATTATTGTTATTATCAATAATGTACTGTTAAAAACACTGATTATTCAGAGATAAATAGATAAATATTTCTTTATTTCTTTTCTTTTTATTTCATTCATATAAAAACAAATGCAACAACAGCATTTGGCATAAATGAAAAGGAAAAACCTTATAATATCTGCCCCCTATCAACACAAAATCATTTACAGTTCCAGTGCATTTGAGCCTCTGACAATTCCAAACACACAAGTGTTTCTGTGAACCGCTGCAGCAGCGAACAGTAATATGATTATTTTGTGTTTTTATTATCAACACTTTTTTTCTTTTGAATTCTATAAACTGTAACAAAAAAGTATTCAGTGTAAATAAATTTAATGTTTTAAAATTCAGTGTCCAAAAATTTGATGTTGAAAAAACCTACGTGCTTTGTTCCCAATTTCAATGTGTATATTATTCTAGCAGTGCAGCAAGGACGAAACCTGCTGACTGTTTTAGAGACAGAGCATGCTAAGGGGTTGTTGTTAATTATGTTGTTCATTTGTATGTTTCTAGACCTCCGATAACACAAGTTGACAGCCAAAAAATGGTCAGGGCTCAACTGATTTAGACTAATTTTGGTGTTCTGAGTCCGAATATCACATGCATTTTGCTCTATCGGGTCAACTTTTTGAGATACAGCCATAGTGTTACGGATTATGTACGTCTACGTTATTATGAATTCTGCTTATCAAATTTGATGGAGTAAATAAAAACTGAATGACTTTGGATACGTTGACCCTTATTTCTTGAGGAAAACGGAAAAACGTCAAGGGTTTCTCAGCTGATGATCCGCAGAAATTTGTTTTTTAGGCAAAATCAATAAAGAAAAATAGTTCTGTAGCAAAAAATCCTGACCTGATTGAGCAAAACCAAGGTCATTTTCGGACTCAGAGCATCAAAATTAGTCTAATTCAGCTGGAAAACCCTGGATTATTTTCAAAAAATATTTTTTTGTTACCCAGTGTAATTATTCTATCTATTCTAAATTTTGACATATTAGTGAAACCAAGACGGAATGAAGGATCGGTTCTTTAGGGAGAAAACAAACCCATGGATTCAATATTAATGCTACAGAGAGGAATCAGACTGATATATTTCTGATCTTAAATACATTTAAGCCATTAACTCTGATATGATCAGGTCTGTTGGATTTCAAGAGGCAAGGAGCTTGTGCTCAAAAAGAAAGTACTCATGACCTTACTGTAAATCTGGTCCGTAAGTTCAAGTCCACGCGTCTTCTGTGTCCAGCTTCATGTTCACAGATGTCCCCCTGTCATCAGTAAATGCACATAATCACATTTACACTTAATACAGATTACTTTACAACTAAGTGAAGCACAAGCGACGGCCATAGCAAATTCATCAATCGCACTAAACACATGCAAAACACATTTTTAAGACGAATGATTACTCTTAAAACAATTGTTATAACAGAGAAAGTATCATACAAAAGCCGCCTTTTTGGGTTTTCATAATTACTTCCACAAATAAGACTGTTAGCATAAGGGAGCTCTCAAAATGACTCCCAGCGCATGACGCACCATTCTGGGCATCAGCGCAGCTCTACACCCGTGGTTAGCGGATTAGCATTGGAGCTCAAGGCTGGAGAAAAAGTCCAAAGAAAATCTGTTTAATAAGATAAGATAAGATAAGATAAGATGTGCTTTATTCATCTCACTAAAGAGAAATTTGCATGTCACATTGGCATGGATAGAGACACTCAGATTGTGCAAAAGAAAGAAATGTGCAAATATGTTACATGCAGGATAATTATGTACAACAAAAGTGTCAAGTGTCAATTGGAAACAGTGTCAATAGTAGTGCAGGTTTTCACACAGTGACCATTTGAAGCGATTATTGTACAGTCTGACAGCGGTGGGGATAAAGGCCCTGCGTCCTTCTCAGCTCCTCTACAGTCCTGTGCAGTGGGTGGGAGGTGTTGTCCATGATGGAGGTGGCTTTGACTAGCACCCTCCTGTCCCTCACCTCCTCCACAGAGTCCAGGGGACAGCCCAGAGTGGAGCTGGTCCTCCTGACCAGCTTGTTCAGTCTGCTTCTGTCCCGCTCTGTGCTGCCCAGGGCCCAGCACATGGCAGCGTAGTATATGGCAGAGGCTACCACAGAGTCATGAAAAGTCCTGAGGACCTTAGCCTCCTCAGAAGGAAGAGGCGACTTTGGCCCTTCTTGTGCAGGGCGTTTGTATTATGGGACCAGTTCAGTTTCTTGTTGATGTGAACACTGTTGTATATTTTAAACATACACTAAACAGATGTGACAATAGTTGACCATTTGAACATCATAGCCAAAAAAGACCTGTGCCCTCAGGTCTTAAGTCACAAGGACACAAGATAGTACAGGAATCATAAGGATGACCAGCTTACAAAACCAGACAATTATTGACTCTAAGTATAAACAGTGTTCTCTCCCACTTTTGGCAGAGCAAAGTCCAACACAATCAGGCACCGCAGAGGTGGGGGCCTTGTTTGCTAAGACTGATATGGAAGACCAAAACCAAGACCAGAGACCAGACCAGAGACCAGTCTCAGACCATGTGACGTCATCGGACATGTTGATAAAACTGGGGGTAGGACATTTTGAGCAGTCTGAGCAGGGATAGAGAGACAGAGAACATGGCAGAGCGCCTGCATGTTCTTTGCACACTTTCAGGCCTGGAGGGAAAGTTTAGAATGGCTCAGCATAGGGTTAGTTTTAGAGAATTAATGGCTCCAAGAGTTTTGTATCGATATTTAATTGTAAAGAGAATTAAATGTTCTATTTTTAACTCTTGCATCTTTGTCTTACTTCTGCATCAACTTTGAACACGTCCGTCAAAGGGTATTTTTGACAACAACACCCAGGTACTTGAAGCTGTCCATCAGCTCAATGTCCACCCCCTGGATAAGTTTGTGTAAGCCCTCAGTCGTACAGGGATTAGTCAAAGCAAATGAAGTTTTCTCACCCATCATCTGATCTTCTTAGCAGGTTTTTCCGACGTTTCGTCCTCAATCCAAAAGACTTCTTCAGGGAACGAATTCTCAGACCGCGCGTTGGAGATTTATAACCTAAGGGTGTGGTAAGCCACACCCTAATCCTGATACTAACTCATAAACAATCTAAGGTCTGTTTGATGTAGAAGGGAGCAGGTCTAACGACCCCTGCTGAGGCTAACGACCCTAACTCATTAGCATGTCACTGACCTTGTCCCAAGTTAGGGCGTTGTTTTTAGGATGTCGTCATAGATGCGAGGCAAAACAAATCTTTACCCTCCTCCTCTGTTAAGAGAAGGTTTTTTGTTTCCTGACTGTGGCCCACTAGAGTTTTCTCTAACCACAGTGTATCAAACGCTTTTTGAAGATCTACAAAAATGCTTACTAAATAGGGCTTTTTGTCTAGGGCATTGGTGATTGTTATGTTGGTGGTGTAGAAATAAAAGACGTATACAATCTTCAGAGCTTTTATGGCAGAGCATGCATACTCATAGCATGATACATCCTCATTCTCCCTCTTAACCTGTTCTAATCCACCCATCTATATACTAATGGTGCCCTCTGTCGGTGAGGGGACAACCCTGCAGTTACCACATGCTATTTCAATCTGGAGAGACGAGGAAACAAGAATGCCTTTGAAGTATTTTATTGAGAGGTAGTTTGGCGCCCTAGGCCCCGGTGCGGCGTTCAGTCAGCGAGGCTCCTGCGAGAGTGCGCGCACAATCCCCCGGGACCTAGGCACTGGCGGCGGCATTTGGCGCAAGAAGCAGATTGGAGGCAGGGTGAAGAGGAGGAGGAGGGGAGGCGGTGGTTGCAAGGCTTTGAGAAGGCCGTGAAGTGGGAGTTTCTCTGCTTTTAAGCGGCTGGCCTGGCCGGCACGGATTGATTGGAAGAGGGCGTTTGCTGTGCGATAGGCTGGGGATGCGAGGCCGGCCTGGAAGGGGTGGCTTTGGCTGACGTCTTCCAAATTGAATTTACGCGAGCTGCATTTCAATCTGGAGAGACGAGGAAAAAAGAATGCCTTTGAAGTATTTTATTGAGAGGTAGTTTGGCGCCCTAGGCCCCGGTGCGGCGTTCAATCAGCGAGGCTCCTGCGAGAGTGCGCGCACAATCCCCAAAAGGCTGTGTGTTGATGGAGTTTTGCAGGCCTGGTTTGCAGGGGACATTGAGAACATGCGCGCACGCGCATGTTCAGCCAGCCGCAGCGCAGGGAAGTCTTTGAGCGAGCTGAGAATATGAGATGCACGCTCATATTCGCCAGACGCTGAAGCAGAGGAATTTTTGAGCGAGCTGAGAACATGCGCGCACGCGCATGTTCAGCCAGACGCTGAAGCAGAGGAATCTTTGAGCGAGCTGAGAATATGAGATGCACGCTCATATTCGCCAGACGCTGAAGCAGAGGAATCTTTGAGCGAGCTGAGAACATGCGCGTTTGAGGAAAGTGCGTGCCGCCACCAGAATCTTATTGCTTACTTGCTTTGCTGGGAGCTTACGAGGAAGCCGGTAGACGTTGTGCGGCCATGATAGCGGTCGTATCTGGCCTGATCTAGGCTGAGAAAGCCGAAGAGGACCAGCGCCCCAGCTGTTGTAGAGAAGAGTGGGGGAGCCCCAGCGAGGTCGCGCGCGTGGCAGCGCCTATCCTGAAGGAGTGGGCTGTATAGAGCTGGGGAGACAAATTGCAGAGGAGCAGTAGGGATCTTAGCTGAGCTCTGAACCAGGTTGCTGTTATGGAAAGGTTGTCTGGAGCGGGAATTAGAGGTCCGTTAAATCTTTTTGCGGCGGAGGCGAGTGTAACGCATCATGGACCTGTAGGGGCAGAGAGATGTGTCGGAACGAGCTATTGTTGTATTGCAGGCGCCTTTGATCTTTGAATGTTTGAGATGAAGGTTGAAATGGTCAGGGGACATTATGTTGGGTGAAAAAGAGCGACCTTTGTTTAATGCTTCCACTACGTCGAGATTATCACGCATGACAGAGATCCTCTTTCTCTGCCACGTGTGATTCCACAGCGCGCAGGCCACGACCACTGGGAATGTCTCGTGTAGGGCAGAGGAGATGCTCCGGTGGAAAGTAGCGGGCCACGGCCCGGCGAACCACTGGTCCTGGAAGAACCCCCCAAAACCCACGGAAGGGACAGCGTCCGTGTAGAAGCGGAGACCTGTAGGGGCAGAGAGACATACCGGAGAGGGCCATTGATGTTGCAGGCGCCCTTACGCTTAGAATCTGGGGTTGGAGATTAGATAATCAGGACAGCAGGATAGGTCGGGAAAGCCGTGTCTCGGACCGCATTGAAGGTTGAGTGAGCAGTAGTGATCTCGCTTATGCAGAGAAGCCACAGAAGGCGAGCAGGAAGATGCTGCGAGGAGGGCAGACATGCACTTGGAAGATGAGCCGGAATTCAGTGCCGCTCAGAGCTGCTGCAGGATGGGCAGCATGATAGGGAGCCTGCGAGCAGAAGAGTGAAGAATACAGGTATGGATGCCTTTGAGTAGGAGTTTGATTGACAGCTCAGCAGTAAAAGAGAGATGTAAAGTGAAGAGACGTCAAGGTAAATGAAGCAGTAGCAGCAGCAGCAGCAGCAGCAGTTGCAGCAGTAGCAGTAGCAGCAGCAGCAGTTGCAGCAACCTTAGATAATAACAGCCTGATCGCGTGGTCCACGGTAGCGGACTGCAGGGTTAGAGCGAGACGGAGAGAAGGGGCCAATGACGTAGCCCGGACACCTCCCGCGCCCGAGCCGCGTGACGACTTGGGGCTCACGGAGAGCCGGGAAGAGGTTGCGGGACATGAGCCGCCGAGGGACCTAAACAGAGCTTGCAGTCCAATTCGAGGGATTTAAACAGAGCTTGCAGTCCAAAGTGAGGTATTAAAACTGAGCCCGCAGTCCAAGTGAGGCGTTTAACTGAGAGCCTGCAGTCCGGTGTGAGGGAGTTAAACGACCTGTAGTCCAAAGTGAGGGATTAATACTGAGAGCTTGTAGTCCAGTGTGAGGGATTCAAACATTGCCCGCAGTCCTAAAAGAGGGATTTGTAACTGAGAGCTTGTAGTCCAAGTGAGGGATTAAACCGAGAGCTGCAGTCCAGTGTGAGGGATTTAAACAGAGTTTACGGTCCAAGTGAGGGATTAACTGAGCCCGCAGTCCAAGTTAGGAGTTTAAACTGAGAGCCTGCAGTCCAAGTGAGGGATTAAAACTGAGAGCTTACAGTCCAGTATGAGGGATCCAACAGAGCCTGCAGTTTTTTTTTTTTTTTGTTTGTTATATATATGCAGTTCCATATACTGTATAAGCAGTTCCAGGTATAAGCAGTACCATATAAGCAGTTCCAGGTATAAGCAGTTCCAATATGAGCAGTTCCATATGTGAGCAGTTCCATATGTGAGCAGTTCCATATGTGAGCAGTTCCATATATAAGCAGTTCCACATATAAGCAGTTCCATATATAAGCAGGTCCATATATAAGCAGTTCCATATATAAGCAGTTCCATATATAAGCAGTTCCATATATAAGCAGTTCCAGATATAAGCAGTTCCATATACGGTACAACAGTTCCAGATATAAGCAGTTCCAGATATAAGCAGTTCCGTGAGGGATTAAACTGAGAGCTCGCAGTCCAATGTGAGGGATTCAATTTGGGAGCCACAGTCCAAGAGGGATTTAAACAGGGCTTGCAGTCCAAAGAGAGGGATTTAAACAGAGCTTGCAGTCCAAAGAGAGGGATTTAAACAGAGCTCGTAGTCCAGAGAGGGATTTAAAGAGAGCCTGCAGGGCAAAGTGAGGGATTAAAACTGAGAGCATGCAGTCCAATGTGAGGGACTAAAACTGAGATCTCGCAGTCCAATGTGAGGGATTAAACGGAGCTTGCAGTCAGAGTGAAGGATTTAAACGGAGCTTGGTTAAAGAGAGCCTGCAGACCAATGTGAGGGCTTTAAACTGAAGCTTGCCCACCAATGCACGGGGCCAACTGAGCCTGCAGTACAATGCAAGGGGAATAAACCGTCCGCAGATCTCATACTTACCCACAACGCCAGAAGACAAGGGACAACACAATGGGACCACACCGTATCGGCACGAGGAGGCAGGGATGCGCACGGCTCCCACCGCACCGGGCCAGAACGGCCGTATGCAGCAGCAGGCCGCGACGAGACGAGCAGCGGCGAACCCGCAGAAAGAGCCCGCAAGGAGGAGAGCGGCAAAGACCCACGGACCACAGCACGAGACCCGCAGCAGGTGCAGCGACGCGGAGGAGGAGCAGACGACACGCAGCAGGACAGAGGACAGCAGGGACACGCACGAGTAAGCGTGAGTAACAAAAGCGATTCCTCCAGAACGATTCTTTGCAAGGCTTCGAGAAGGCCGAGAGTGGGAGTTTCTCCGCTTTTAAGCGGCTGGCCTGGCCGGCACGGATTGGTTGGAAGAGGGCGTTTGCCGTGCGATAGGCTGGGGATGCGAGGCCGGCCTGGAAGGGGTGGCTTTGGCTGACGTCTTCCAAATTGAATTTCCGCGAGCTGCATTATGCATACATAAACACAACGGTGATCTCTTCAATTAATTCCATTATCGCTGTAGCAGTTGAGTGAGTAGGACGAAACCCATACTGGCTGCTACTTAATAACTTAAATTCATTAAAAAATCGATTGAGTCTAATTGCAAATAGCTTCTCCAGAAAGTAATGATATTGGTCGATAATTGGAAAATTCTGCTTTGTTTCCTTTTTTATAAAGTGGAATTACTTAAGCTATTTTCATGGTGTCTGGATGCAAATATAGGTAAAAGGTTCAATAATGACCTCTATAATTAGCTTTATCAGTGTCATACTCATATCTGTATAGTTGGCAGATTTCTTATTCTCACACTTCTGAACAATTTTCAATATCTCTCTAGCCTGCACACGTTCGAGAAAAATTAGAATCAACCAAAAAATGAGAAATAAACCAAGCAGCTCTATAAGATTTATTCAGGAACAAACAATGGGATTACAGTCATAGCATGTGAGATAGTCATTTCACAAACTATACGTGTGCAATAAAAGCAAAAACAAAAACATAATTTCAGATACGTTTGGTGCTCTCAGCAGTAAAAAGCTTTCATTTGAACATGACGTAGCTGATTTTAAAATGCACCAACGCGTTTCAGCAACTCGCCTTTCTTAGTGTGCATTTTTTTCTGCTTTTTTTCCAAGCAGACAGACTTCTATTTTTAAAAAGTATAAGGGTCTATGTACTTTTGCTTTCATTGTTTTTTTCAATTTTCAAACGAAAATAGAAAATCAAAAGTTAAATTTTCTTTTTTAAAATGCAAAGGAAAACATGTCCATGATGCTACTGTACGTGTAAGTGTGCAGGGCGTTGTGTCCACGATCGGACATCCGAGGCCACTGCTGGCGGATGAATTTGATGCTAACGCTGAAGGCGATCGTCAGAGCTGTTTGAACCTATGCGCCAGACCCCTCTGCAGTGGGTCACCGCATGAGTGGAAGCCCTGAAACAATTTTTTAATTTGCAAATAATACAATTTTAAATAACCCATATTTTTCTTTATGGGTTTGAAACAAAAGATAGAGCATATTGATTTTGCAATTTCCTTCCAAAATAAAATATATGCAATAAGCGCAAAAGTGCCAGGACCCTTCAGTAAATGCATTCTACCTTAAAAATGTGTGACATAATATTGTTTTGAGATATACAAATATTACCATCTATTTATCAGACAATGTAGTGATTTACACTGGACCATCAGTTATGGGTGAATTTGGTTTCTGTATGATTGGAGAAATAAAATTAAAAACATTTGTTCAATTGCTACTTGGTTATTTAAGGTAAATAAAAGTTGTCATACTGTGACTACTGTAATACATTTGGTTTTCTCATTACATTACAGTTTTCTACTCTGTAACATCATCATAGTCACAAAAAGGTAAAGCACTTCTTTTACCTTGTTACTGCAACGGTAAATGTCATTGTGCTCAAACGTGTTTACATGTATAGTTCAGCATTTAATTTAGCACACAAGGCTTGACATCAAACATTCACCAGAACTTGCGTGATAGCTAGTAGCAGTACTGTCAGGATTGACATAGAAAACACGGTAGGCCGTGAGCTTCCTGCTGATGATTCTGGAATTGTTAAAAACATACAATTATATTTCCAACCGTGTAATGATAAACAATTTAACATTAGAATACAAGTAAAATTTACTTACGTGCTGAGACACTACCTGCAACAACGTTTAAGTTGGAATTGGACAACGCACTGCCCAGTTGTGAAGTAGTGGTGCTTGGGTCTGGTACAGAGCTTTTATCTTTGAACACAAGAGTCATATCGACATCTACTGATCCACTTCTGCAATGTTGAGGAAGATTTGTTCTATCATTAGAAAGGGCATTCAAATTTGTCTTTTAAGTTTCAACAGGGAACAAAACTTACTTAAATGAATTGATTAGTGAACGAAGGAAATTAGCTCCAAAAAGCCTCTGACATGCTGAATTCACCTGTAAATGTATGCATACATATTCATGTCTCACAAGGAGTATATGCAGTTGGGAACATTTATGTCAGGCTGTACAGATCAATTCAAGTTTTCATGAATTTTTTACCTCGTTCAGCACAATCGAAGCTAAGGCCTTGTATCCTGGAGATGAGGGGTCCAGGAGATCAGATGTAAAGGTTTTGTCTAGTTTAAAACCCAGGTTTTGTGTTCCTTCACTGGATGACGGAGCATCTGTTGATGCAGTTGTAGTCGTTGCAGCGGTGGTAGTGGTGGTAGTGGTAGTTGTGGTGGTAGTGGTTGCTATAGAAGTACTAGCGTTTGTGGGTGTTGGAGCCTCGCTAGTTACAGTGGTCACAGCAGTAGTTGCTGTACTTGTAGATTCTGAAACATATACATACAGCAATTATTTTCAATGATATCTTAGCTTATTTAATCAAATCTAATTTCACAAATGGTGGTAACACAGAGCAAACTTGTCTGTATCTGTCAGATGAGACAGATAGATTATATATAATCTTATAATCTATCTGTCTCATCTGACAGATGCAATGTTTACATATTATTTACAAGCAGAGCGAGCCATATGCCAATTAGCCATGTGTGCCAAACACATAGAGATATAGTCGCCGAAACCTGAAAAATGTTGAAAATGGCAAACAACAAGCGAAAGCAACACACTGTCACAAGCTCATTTCAGGTTTGTCGCGTCTAAAAAAAGGCCCACTCAAAGCTATATCATTTACCAATAGAAACATCCAAGCTACTACTTTCTGAAGTTTGAATAAAGGCCGGACATTGCTACTCTCCTTCTTCTCATCATTTCCAGGGACAAAAAAAGACAGGTATTTCACACACTGAATTAGACAGAAAATGCGTTTTTGTAGGAGTTAAAAAATGCACATCGACCTTCCAGAGTGGAAATCTTCAATCACGCTCACTCTATGCGTCCCTTTTGAAACTGATAAAAAAGTACATTTCAACTAGGGCTAGTAGCTGTAAATACTACACTGCAAAAACCCGCCCTCGAAAGTGTATGTGGACTAACCCCAAGTAGGCGTACATTTTATTCATCATGAATCAAATAAGACAACCTGGACGGGAGTTGAAATCTTAAAACTTAAAAAGAAACATAAAAAAAGAATTGTGAGATGAACTTACGTGCTGAGACAGTTCCTGACACGACATTCATTTTGGTAGAACTACTGAGTTCTGTGCTAAGATTTGAAGTAGCAGTGTTTGCTGTTGGAACAGAGCTTTGATTGGTAAACACAAGAGTCATATCAACAGCTACCGATCCACTCCTGTAATTACAATCCAGAATATATTATACAGCAAGTCTTTAGAATGACTATCACAAAGTAGTTCACTGTTCCTTACTTGAAAGTATTAATCAAGCTTCGACTGTAAGTTGATCCATACAATTTTCTGCATGCAGCATTAACCTGTTAACAGTTAGAATATAATTGTTATGATACTGAAACAAGAAATGTAAAATAAACCACACATACACAATTGTCATACCTCACTAATTACAGTTGAAGCTAAGGCTTTATATTCAGCTGAGGATGAGTTAAGAAGATCTGATGTAAATGTTTGATTCAGTTTAAAAGTGAGGCCGAGTGTCCCTTCGCTGGAGGTTGCTGGATTGGTGTTGGCGTTTGTTGTTGTAGAAGCTGTGGCGTTTGTTGGTGGGGCAGCTGTGGCGTTTGTTGGTGGGGCAGCTGTGGCGTTTGTTGGTGGGGCAGCTGTGGCGTTTGTTGGTGGGGCAGCTGTGGCGTTCGTTGATGGGGCAGCTGTGGCGTTTGTTGGTGGGGCAGCTGTGGCGTTCGTTGGTGGGGCAGATGTGGCGTTTGTTGGTGGGGCAGCTGTGGCGTTCGTTGATGGGGCAGCTGTGGCGTTTGTTGGTGGGGCAGCTGTGGCGTTCGTTGGTGGGGCAGATGTGGCGTTTGTTGGTGGGGCAGCTGTGGCGTTCGTTGGTGGGGCAGCTGTGGCGTTTGTTGGTGGGGCAGCTGTGGCGTTTGTTGGTGGGGCAGCTGTGGCGTTTGTTGGTGGGGCAGCTGTGGCGTTTGTTGGTGGGGCCACTGTGGCATTTGTTGGAGGGGCAACTGTGGCGTTTGTGGGCGGGGCAGCTGTGGAATTAGTGGGCGGAGCAGCAGTAGCATTAGTGGGTGGGGCAACAGTGGCATTTGTCGGTGGAGCAGCTGTGGCGTTTGTTGGTGGGGCAGCTGTGGCATTTGTTGGTGGGGCAGATGTGGCGTTTGTTGGTGGGGCAGCTGTGGCGTTTGTTGGTGGGGCCACTGTGGCATTTGTTGGAGGGGCAGCTGTGGCGTTTGTGGGCGGGGCAGCTGTGGCATTAGTGGGTGGAGCAGCTGTGGCATTTGTGGGTGGGGCAGCTGTGGCATTAGTGGGTGGAGCAGCTGTGGCATTTGTGGGTGGAGCAGCTGTAACATTGATTGATGAGAAGTAGAATATGTGTTAATTGTTTGTGGTCATTATAATTTACAAATATTTTTTCTTTAGTGAGTTTCTTACGTGTCTTGTCAGTAGTTGGAGCTGTTGTTGTTGTTTCCACAACTAATGAATACAAAGTTGAAATGATTTTGTCTTATTTAATGAAAAAATGTCCTTGGGATAAATACTCACCACTTGCATTAATGCTTGATGTATTCACATTCAGAGAAAAGTTTGAACTGGACGCTGCTTCCACCATGGTTTCAGACACAGATGTTACGTTTGGCACTGTGTTTTCTTTATTAAATATCAATTCAGTTTCAACATTCACTGATCCTTTTCTGCATAGAAACAACATAAAAAAGTTAATTCTCTAAAGAGAAAAAAATTTAAAATATGTAATCGGTAAAACATACTTGAAACCCTTCACAATTGTGCGGTTAAAAGAAGACCAAAATTTGGCGATGAAAACCTTATCCAGCTGTAGATACAATGTTGAATTAAATGTGTGTATAAGGGTGATGTCATGATACAGCTTCAATACAATGATCACTTACAGCTTCTGTGACTTTTTTCTCCAGTGCTTTGAACTCTGGTGAGGATTTGTTTTCAAGGCTCGGTTGGAAGGTTTCGTCCAACTTGAAATCCAGCTTTATTTTTGGTTCCAGTTTTGGAGCTGATGTTGTGGTAACAGGAGCAGCTGTGGCATTTGTAGGTGGAGCAGCCGTAGCATTAGTGGGCGGGGCAGCTGTGGCGTTTGTTGGTGGGGCAGCTGTGGCATTAGTGGGCGGAGCAGCTGTGGCGTTTGTCGGTGGGGCAGCTGTGGCGTTAGTGGGTGGAGCAGCTGTGGCATTAGTGGGCGGAGCAGCTGTGGCGTTAGTGGGTGGAGCAGCTGTAGCATTAGTGGGTGGAGCAGCTGTGGCATTTGTGGGTGGAGCAGCAGTGGCATTTGTGGGTGGAGCAACAGTGGCATTTGTGGGTGGAGCAGCTGTGGCATTAGTGGGCGGAGCAGCTGTGGCGTTAGTGGGTGGAGCAGCTGTAGCATTAGTGGGTGGAGCAGCTGTGGCATTTGTGGGTGGAGCAGCAGTGGCATTTGTGGGTGGAGCAACAGTGGCATTTGTGGGTGGAGCAGCTGTTGCATTTGTGGGTGGAGCAGCCGTTGCATTAGTGGGCGGAGCAGCTGTGGCGTTTGTTGGTGGAGCAGCTGTAGCATTAGTGGGTGGAGCAGCTGTGGCATTTGTGGGTGGAGCAGCTGTGGCATTTGTGGGTGGAGCAGCTGTCGCATTTGTGGGTGGAGCAGCTGTGGCGTTTGTTGGTGGAGCAGCTGTAGCATTAGTGGGTGGAGCAGCTGTGGCATTTGTGGGTGGAGCAACAGTGGCATTTGTGGGTGGAGCAGCTGTAGCATTAGTGGGTGGAGCAGCTGTGGCATTTGTGGGTGGAGCAACAGTGGCATTTGTGGGTGGAGCAGCTGTCGCATTTGTGGGTGGAGCAGCTGTGGCGTTTGTTGGTGGAGCAGCTGTGGCGTTTGTTGGTGGGGCAGCTGTGGCGTTTGTTGGTGGGGCCACTGTGGCATTTGTTGGAGGGGCAGCTGTGGCGTTTGTGGGCGGGGCAGCTGTGGAATTAGTGGGCGGAGCAGCAGTAGCATTAGTGGGTGGGGCAACAGTGGCATTTGTCGGTGGAGCAGCTGTGGCGTTTGTTGGTGGGGCAGCTGTGGCATTAGTGGGTGGAGCAGCTGTATTATTGATTGATGAGAAGTAGAATATGTGTTAATTGTCTGTGGTCATTTTAATTTACAAATATTTTTTCTAGAATTAGTTTCTTACGTGTCTTGTCAGTAGTTGGAGCTGTTGTTGAAGTTTCCACAACTAATAAATAGAAAAGTTAGAATGATTTTGTCTGATTTAAAGGAACAATATGTAAAAATCTGGCCAAAAGTGGTACTGCAGTCACAGTCAATATTTTGTAGTCCTCTCCCACTCTCCCTGACTCAGGTTGCCAGATACACACCAAATCCAGCAGCAAACACAGGGAATTATTTTATCAGTTGTTTGTCTGTCTCTCACATTGCCATGAGGCATGCTAATGTTGAATGAATGTTTTTTTATTTATTTTTTTATTTATTTGGACATTTGAGATAAAAAACACAAAACAAAATAAAAGCAATGTAATTATAGATTATCCAAAATATATAAGCAATTGACGTCCAAAATAGGAGTGGGAAGAATGGATGTTGGAACGTATTTCTTTAGCGTATCAACATCAGGGTTTGCTCAAGAGAATATCACCTTTCAATTTTATTTATTCCCTATGTTTTAGTCAAACAAGTATAAGTCCCACATCAAAAAGAGACTAACATTATTTTAATTGGGGTACATGTGGTCTTAAATTATTCTTTTTACAATTAAGCTATAATCTGCAAAAAAAACGTCTTGACCTTCGTCTTTTACCGTTTTTAGAGCAATCTGTCGAAACGGCGGAGGGTAGGACATAAAATCAAAACAATAACATCTTTTACGGGTCGTAAAACTAATTTTGATATTCAAATATCTCGGCTGAACTACTGTTATCAGTTAAAGATGTATTCGAAAAGAGCATGATTTAATAAAGCCTTTTGAAATATGGGGGCCATTTAATGATGACTTGACATGCAAATATTACATACTGCTACTTTAATAAAAAGATCTCCTTGGGGTAAATACTCACCACTTGTAGTAATGCTTGATGTATTCACACTGAAAGAAAAGTTTGAACTGGACGATGCTTCCACCATGGTTTCAGACACAGATGTTACGTTTGGCACTGTGTTTTCTTTATTAAATATCAATTCAGTTTCAACTTTCACTGATCCTTCTCTGCATAGAAACAACATAAAAAATTTAATTCTCTAGAGGGAAAAACATGTAAAATATGTAATTGGTAAAACATACTTGAAACCCTTCACAATTGTGCGGTTGAAAGAAGACCCAAATTTGGCGATAAAACCTTATCCAGCTGTAGATACAATGTTGAATTAAATGTGTGTATAAGGGTGATGTCATGATACAGCTTCAATACAATGATCACTTACAGCTTCTGTGACTTTTTTCTCCAGTGCTTTGAACTCTGGTGAGGATTTGTTTTCAAGGCTCGGTTGGAAGGTTTCGACCAACTTGAAATCCAGCTTTATTTTCGGCTCCAGTTTTGGAGCTGATGTTGTGGTAAAAGGAGCAGCTGTGGCATTTGTGGGTGGGGCAGCTGTGGCGTTCATTGGTGGGGCAGCTGTGGCATTCGTTGGTGGGGCAGCTGTGGCGTTCGTTGGTGGGGCAGCTGTGGCGTTCGTTGGTGGGGCAGCTGTGGCGTTCGTTGGTGGGGCCACTGTGGCATTTGGAGGGGCAGCTGTGGCATTAGTGGGCGGAGCAGCCGTAGCATTAGTTGGCGGGGCAGCTGTGGCGTTTGTTGGTGGGGAAGCTGTGGCATTAGTGGGCGGAGCAGCTGTGGCGTTTGTTGGTGGGGCAGCTGTGGCGTTAGTGGGTGGAGCAGCTGTGGCATTAGTGGGCGGAGCAGCTGTGGCGTTTGTCGGTGGAGCAGCTGTAGCATTAGTGGGTGGAGCACCTGTCGCATTTGTGGGTGGAGCAGCAGTGGCATTAGTGGGTGGAGCAGCTGTGGCATTTGTGGGTGGAGCAGCTGTCGCATTTGTGGGTGGAGCAGCCGTAGCATTAGTGGGCGGAGCAGCTGTGGCGTTTGTTGGTGGAGCAGCTGTAGCATTAGTGGGTGGAGCAGCTGTGGCATTGGTGGGTGGAGCAGCAGTGGCATTTGTGGGTGGAGCAGCCGTAGCATTAGTGGGCGGGGCAGCTGTGGCATTTGTTGGTGGTGGAGCTGTGGCATTTGTTGGCGGAGCAGCTGTGGCATTTGTTGGTCGTGCAGCTGTGGCATTTGTTGGTTGAGCAGCTGTGGCATTAGTGGGTGGTGCAGCTGTGGCATTTGTTGGTGTTGCAGCTGTGGCATTTGTTGGCGGAGCAGCTGTGGTGTTTGTTGGCGGAGCAGCTGTGGCATTTGTTGGTGGTGCAGCTGTGGCATTTGTTGGTGGAGCAGCTGTGCGTTTATTGGTGGAGCAGCTGTGGCGTTGTTTGGTGGAGCAGCTGTGGCATTTGTTAGTGGAGCAGCTGTGGCATTTGTTGGTGGAGCCAGCTGTGGTGTTTATTGGTGGAGCAGCTGTGGCGTTGGTTGGTGGAGCAGCTGTGGCATTTGTTAGTGGAGCAGCTGTGGCATTTGTTGGCGGAGCAGCTGTGGCATTTGTTGGTGGTGCAGCTGTGGCATTTGTTGGTGGAGCAGCTGTGGCGTTTATTGGTGGAGCAGCTGTGGTGTTGGTTGGTGGAGCAGCTGTGGCATTTGTTGGCAGGGCAGCTGTGGCATTTGTTAGTGGAGCAGCTGTGGCATTTGTTGGTGGAGCAGCTGTGGCGTTTATTGGTGGAGCAGCTGTGGTGTTGGTTGGTGGAGCAGCTGTGGCATTTGTTGGCAGGGCAGCTGTGGCATTTGTTAGTGGAGCAGCTGTGGCATTTGTTGGCAGGGCAGCAGCTGTGGCATTTGTGGCCGGAGCAGCTGTGAAAAAAGCAGATTCTGTGTTAGTGGAATGTATCCATCCAGAGAGCTGTGACAAGATTTGTTAAAGAAGATTAATTAAAGAGAACCATATAGCTTTGGTAAATATGCCTTCAGCGAAAGTACTTTTGTTTCTTGTTAATTGTTTGATTTGTCAGGACTGAAATGACTTGAAATTTGAGTCACTTTACCTGTTGTTGCATTTTCTGCTGATGCACCTATTATACCTGCCAAGGCACAAAGAAGAATCAATTTATACAAGTATTTAAATTAAGTGGTTTAAAAAACAGACAGACCCTCATTACCTGCCAGCAGGACAACAAGTGTGAAAGGTTCCATCTGCAAAATCATAAATATTTAATTCCCAGGTGAAAAACTAGGTTGGAATTCATCATACTTAATACAATGGCATTTAAGTACCAGGCAGCACTTAGGAAGAAAAAAATATTTTGCGCCATCTCTGAATTTTTAGATTGGCTCCGAAAAATCCGTCCTTTATCTTAAAAATCTTTATCTTTCATTTTTAAGAGGCAGCATAATGCCTCAGTTCAATTTATGATGTAGCACCAATTTGTCACGCGATACCAAGCTGCAAAAGCCCGCCTCAAGGAGGTGAGTTTCAGATCTGTAGGTCTGAGCCTGTGGCTAGGGGTCATCGAAATCACCCCAAACGAAGATGAGATGAGATCTAACTTTCTTTGGAGAATTGTATAACTTCAATCCATCCAGATTAAATAAAAATTAGGCATTAAAAGCACAATTGGCGTTGAAATGAGTGGTAGCCATTTACACTGTAAAAAACTAACTATCTAACAGCAGCAAGGACCTTAAATGGCACCAAAAGGAGGCAACACATAATTCCAGTGTTACAATCACTCCACTGGCTTACTACACCGGAGTATAGAATCAAATTTAAAACCCTTCTTTTAACACACAAAGCCATAAATGACATGGCTCCCTCCTACCTCCAAGACATGTTAGTGTCATACCAACCAAACCGAGCATTGCGTGGAATCTGATGGTTCCTAAAGTGTCAAAAATAACACTGAGCATTTCCTCATGGAACAGCTGTGATTCTACGAATTAAAGATTACACACTTGCAGGCTCTGTTTAATTGTTAGGACAAGGTTTGAGAATTCAGAAGTTAGTAGGACTGTTTTAATGGAAATATAATCCACTCAAATTATTGCGTGCATGCCCCGTTGTCCTATTTTTAAAATAATAAGAATATCGTTTATCTTTTTTTTTTCATTTGTCTGTTACTTGAGGGTGAACTTTCAGTAAAAATAAAACATGAAAATAACAAAAATCACCACTGTAAAAGATAAATGCCGTTAGTTTGTTATCGGAGAGATAAGAAAATCTAGAGAGCAATAGCACAGTGGACTGTGTATTTGATACAATAATAATTTGCATGCTCTTAGCAAAACCATAATTCACATAATGAATACTTCAGAGGGAATTCTTTCACATGTCAAAAACATCTGCGGAACACGTAAAATGTGATGCAATAATCCTAAATCATGAAATAAGTGCAATTATAAAGTGAATTTCTACCATTGAACAAATAGTATTGTATCAGCAACTCCCATTGTAATGTTTGTCTTATTTATTCATTCATCTTTCTGGTATTACTTTAAATATATTAAAATGTTTGGTTTAGAACAAGCATGGAAATCCATCTAAGTTGCGTTTTAACAAAAATGGAGAAATCCAACCCGAGGTAACTTTGGGTGAATCCATTACAAGACTCATTATGTGAGCCTCTGCATAGGGCTACCGTGGAATTAGGATTGGAGATGAGTGGAAGACGGCAAAAATGCACAAGCTGTCTTCCAATAACTTGTCAATGATGTTTTGTGCGACATCCTAAACAAGTTTATTTTTACTTCCCTGAACAACATTTTGACTCTTTGTCAAGGCTGACAAATGTACATTTCACAAACCCAAAGTTAGGTTTCTTGGTTATGTTATTGAAGACGAAAAACTGGCTATTGCAGATTGGCCTACACCCAACATCATGTAAACTGCAAATTTTTACAAATGTTTTGTTAGAGCTTACAGCAGGGTTGCATTCATATGTGAATTGGGTGGTAGTCCGACCCAGAAATGGATCAAGGGGATCACGGGTGTCAATACAAGTTATATTGGGCTGGGTGATCTGAGAAATAAAAATAATCATTATACATTGTAAAGATGTTTTATATGATTGTAAATAATTATAACAATTGAAAATACAATGAAAACTATCTTTATATATCTTCATATCTTTATATGAAGATATATAAAGATAGTTTTCTTCATATATATATATATAAGATATATAAAGATAGTTTTCATTGTATTTTCAATTGTTATTATTATTTATAATCATATAAAACATCTTTCCAATATTAAAATGTTTATTAATTTGAACTTTTATTAATAAAAGGGTATTTAATTATTGTAAATGCTGTCTGTTCCTGGCTCAACGCTTCAGTCCCATGAATGGTGCGTCTCTATTTTATTGCTTGATCTTGAATGAAGATCGAATTGCCATTTATTATTTATTTTCAGCACAACCCTACAGTACATACACTAATAGTAATTAATTAATGATAACAATAAAAGTCTTACCCTATTTTAGTCCCTGAGTCCCAAACTCTTCAATTCACTGCATGAGTAGGTACGTCCTCATGTACGTCCAAAGTAAAATGAGAGTTTCCTGCAGTAGAAAGGTTTTAAGGTTGTCTGAGAGGGGACCAGAAATTCTGGCCTGTTCTAGTTGACTTGAAAAACTTGTTTCCATGTAAGTGAAAAAGAAGGAAGAAACAAAACACACGCTGAAGGTAGATGGCAGGCTCTGAGAAACTATTTTGGATATTTTAGAAATGCATTCTTCTCTCTATACTGTGGAAAGTCCTTAATGTTGAGTTACTGCTGTAGACTGAATACTCAGTAACAGAACTGACTTACTGTAATAGATATATAGCAAATCACATTCTTATGTATATTTTCATATTTTACTTGATTTACAGGAAGGGAGTATTTGATCACAGAAAACACAACTTACTACTTCTTGATCTGATCCATGGATCTATTACAATAATAGGATAGGTTATTACTAGCTTATAGCTGTTCCACCCATGGGTGCTCGGGGCACCCGCTGTACTACAGACTAAATTCACATGGGCTACCCAGAATAAACTAAAACAGCTCGACCTCTGCTGACAGATCTACAGCTTTCATAATGGTTGGATTTTTTGGGGATTTAAGTGTCCCTTGCCATCCTGAACTTTTGCCGCTTTTTCATGCTAACAATACGGCACAGCACGGTACAGAACGGCACAGCGCGGTTATTTGCATTTCCACTAGGGTTGGGCTAGGGATCAGGGTACTTTTTTTGCGCAACCTCGACAGTGGTTCCAAGTGTGCCCAAGCTACACCACAACGTGACGTCAGCCGACTGCCTCACACTGATTGGTCAACGAGTCTTGTCACTGGAGGCGACGTCCGACCCTATGGTAAAAATAACTCAACCCTGCCTTCTTTAAAACCGGCTGCTCTTCTATAATAATAATAAATCTTCCTCACTCGAGAGAAATGGAATCGCACACAAAGCTCCAAAAGTCAATGTCCTCGTCGGTCAACAATGTCCACATGTTACTCTCTTTAGGCCAAAGAAAGAATTCAAAGGCAGCTCGACAGCTCAACACGGAACGAGAAGGTTTTCAGGGAGATTGCCCAGCTCTTGATTTGTGACTAGTCTGTGGTAATCCTGGAAATAAGCTCTCACTGACATGTATTTACTCCTGTAAAAGTTTGATTGTCTGTTGTACACAGTGAGCTAGCTACATTTAGCTATCGATAGCAAGCTAAGCTAAAACGTCCTTCCTGTGTTAATGTGCTGTGTTTTGCTATTTCACGTGTTGCCTTTCTGTTTTGTGCTTGTTGAAGGTTGTCGTGTGTATATTTATTTGTTTGAGAATCCCTTCCCACAAGTGAGGAGATTACCAACGAGCAATGAGTGACCACTTGTCCCCTCACCCGGTCTCAAGAGACATACGTACTTTGATCTTTGTTAATTGTTGGTTTTGCACTTTACTTTTGGTTTTAATTAAATCTGTGATTGTGTCAAGACTTTGTTTCATTGATTTGTCTGTACACATGCAGAAAAGGGTTTGAAAAGCTTTTTTTTAAACTTGCATTTACATTACATACATTATGTGTCAGTAAATCCGTATAACCTTGGATGGAGGATGGAGACATATTTACAAAAAGGTTTTATTTTTGGTCAAAACACAAGGGAAAATAAATGTTTAGGCATATGATTATTATCATATTTTACTTTTTTACTTCTTATTGCTCCTTCTTTGAGTTGTGTCAGGATATTAGGCACACACATGCTTACGGTAACACAAGTTTGATTCTCTATTTTGATACATTTAGACATATTCGGTGAACGATATTCCCTTTATGGGAAGTTAACAGCTGAGCTGAAATATAACATCTTTACGCAACAATATCTTGTGGTCTTGTCTAGTGTATCAAACGCTTTTGAAGATCTACAAAAATGCTTACTAAATAGGGCTTTTTGTCTAGAGCATTGGTGATCTCTTCAATTATTTCCATTATCGCTGTAGCAGTTGAGTGAGTAGGACGAAACCCATACTGGCTGCTACTTAATAACTTAAATTTATTTAAAAATCGATTGAGTCTAATTGCAAATAGCTTCTCCAGAAAGTAATGATATTGGTCTATAATTGGAAAATTCTGCTTTGTTTCCTTTTTTATAAAGTGGAATTACTTAAGCTATTTTCATGGTGTCTGGATGCAAATATAGGTAAAAGGTTCAATAATGACCTCTATAATTAGCTTTATCAGTGTCATACTCATATCTGTATAGTTGGCAGATTTCTTATTCTCACACTTCTGAACAATTTTCAATATCTCTCTAGCCTGCACACGTTCGAGAAAAATTAGAATCAACCAAAAAATGAGAAATAAACCAAGCAGCTCTATAAGATTTATTCAGGAACAAACAATGGGATTACAGTCATAGCATGTGAGATAGTCATTTCACAAACTATACGTGTGCAATAAAAGCAAAAACAAAAACATAATTTCAGATACGTTTGGTGCTCTCAGCAATAAAAAGCTTTCATTTGAACATGACGTAGCTGATTTTAAAATGCACCAACGCGTTTCAGCAACTCGCCTTTCTTATTGTGCATTTCTTCTGCTTTTTTTCCAAGCAGACAGACTTCTATTTTAAAAAAGTATAAGGGTCTATGTACTTTTGCTTTCATTGTTTTTTTCAATTTTCAAACGAAAATAGAAAATCAAAAGTTAAATTTTCTTTTTAAAAATAAAATAACATTTTCTTTTTCTAATTTTAAAATAAAAATCAAACATTTTCTTTGCCAAGGTTCCTAAGCTCTGTCAAGCTGACGCTAAGAAACAGGAAAAGTACTGGGGACTATGAAAACTCACGGGACACAGACAGACTGGATTAACTAAACCCGGACTCAGTCAGAAACCAGAAGGTTCACGTCCTATAGCTGGAATAGATCCACCTGAGAAATTAAATTAATTTCTGAATGGACTCCAAATTGAATTAATCTTGTCTGTAAACCAGTGTATGTCATTTCTTGGAACATATTTATCCTTTTATTTGTTTAGTAATGGACTGAGGAAAGACTCGCTAATTGCAATGCTAAGGCATCTGAGGGACCTGAAGCTCCCTCCCCAAGTGGTTAAAAACTTCTACACCTGCACCACTGAGAGCATTCTGATGGGGAGCATCGCGGTGGATGGGAGGCTGCACCCAGCATGACCACTTAGCCTTCAGGAGAGTGGTCCGCTCAGCGGAGAGAACCATCAGGATGGACCTCCCTCAATTGGAGGACATCCTCATCCAACGATGCCAGAGAAGAGCCCAGAAGATTGTACGGGACAGCAGCCCCCCTGATTATGGACTGTTCACTCTGCTGCTGTCTCCTCAAAACCAACACTGAGAGAATGAGAAGGATTTTCTTTCCTGAAGCCATAAGACTGCTAAACCGGACCTCACTCTGTCTCTGTTCTGGTTCTGTGTAGTTATTGTGTGTTCTGAATGCTGTACTGAACATCTGCTGGAGGTGCATAGGAATAGGACAACAAATAAACTAAACCTAACTAAAACTAAACTAAACTACAGCTAATTTTATCCCTATAATTAAACAAATAAATAAATCATAGACTGGATGTTTGATCACTGAGGACCGCGCACATTCAAATTTATGAAGGACACTTGGAGTGGGAGATAAAACCACGTACAATCATGTGTGTCTAGGTGGCGGGCGAGGGGATGTACTTGCATTACATTGACAGATGCAAATGCAAAGGAAAACATGTCCATGATGCTACTGTACGTGTAAGTGTGCAGGGCGTTGTGTCCACGATCGGACATCCCGAGGCCACTGCTGGCGGATGAATTTGATGCTAACGCTGAAGGCGATCGTCAGAGCTGTTTGAACCTATGCGCCAGACCCCTCTGCAGTGGGTCACCGCATGAGTGGAAGCCCTGAAACATTTTTGTAATTTGCAAATAATACAATTTTAAATAACCCATATTTTTCTTTATGGGTTTGAAACAAAAGATAGAGCATATTGATTTTGCAATTTCCTTCCAAAATAAAATATATGCAATAAGCGCAAAAGTGCCAGGACCCTTCAGTAAATGCATTCTACCTTAAAAATGTGTGACATAATATTGTTTTGAGATATACAAATATTACCATCTATTTATCAGACAATGTAGTGATTTACACTGGACCATCAGTTATGGGTGAATTTGGTTTCTGTATGATTGGAGAAATAAAATTAAAAACATTTGTTCAATTGCTACTTGGTTATTTAAGGTAAATAAAAGTTGTCATACTGTGACTACTGTAATACATTTGGTTTTCTCATTACATTACAGTTTTCTACTCTGTAACATCATCATAGTCACAAAAAGGTAAAGCACTTCTTTTACCTTGTTACTGCAACGGTAAATGTCATTGTGCTCAAACGTGTTTACATGTATAGTTCAGCATTTAATTTAGCACACAAGGCTTGACATCAAACATTCACCAGAACTTGCGTGATAGCTAGTAGCAGTACTGTCAGGATTGACATAGAAAACACGGTAGGCCGTGAGCTTCCTGCTGATGATTCTGGAATTGTTAAAAACATACAATTATATTTCCAACCGTGTAATGATAAACAATTTAACATTAGAATACAAGTAAAATTTACTTACGTGCTGAGACACTACCTGCAACAACGTTTAAGTTGGAATTGGACAACGCACTGCCCAGTTGTGAAGTAGTGGTGCTTGGGTCTGGTACAGAGCTTTTATCTTTGAACACAAGAGTCATATCGACATCTACTGATCCACTTCTGCAATGTTGAGGAAGATTTGTTCTATCATTAGAAAGGGCATTCAAATTTGTCTTTTAAGTTTCAACAGGGAACAAAACTTACTTAAATGAATTGATTAGTGAACGAAGGAAATTAGCTCCAAAAAGCCTCTGACATGCTGAATTCACCTGTAAATGTATGCATACATATTCATGTCTCACAAGGAGTATATGCAGTTGGGAACATTTATGTCAGGCTGTACAGATCAATTCAAGTTTTCATGAATTTTTTACCTCGTTCAGCACAATCGAAGCTAAGGCCTTGTATCCTGGAGATGAGGGGTCCAGGAGATCAGATGTAAAGGTTTTGTCTAGTTTAAAACCCAGGTTTTGTGTTCCTTCACTGGATGACGGAGCATCTGTTGATGCAGTTGTAGTCGTTGCAGCGGTGGTAGTGGTGGTAGTGGTGGTGGTAGTGGTGGCAGTGGTGGCAGCGGGGTAGTGGTGGTAGTGTTGGTAGTGCTGTAGAAGTACTAGCGTTTGTGGGTGTTGGAGCCTCGCTAGTTACAGTGGTCACAGCAGTAGTTGCTGTACTTGTAGATTCTGAAACATATACATACAGCAATTATTTTCAATGATATCTTAGCTTATTTAATCAAATCTAATTTCACAAATGGTGGTAACACAGAGCAAACTTGTCTGTATCTGTCAGATGAGACAGATAGATTATATATAATCTTATAATCTATCTGTCTCATCTGACAGATGCAATGTTTACATATTATTTACAAGCAGAGCGAGCCATATGCCAATTAGCCATGTGTGCCAAACACATAGAGACATAGTCGCCGAAACCTGAAAAATGTTGAAAATGGCAAACAACAAGCGAAAGCAACACACTGTCACAAGCTCATTTCAGGTTTGTCGCGTCTAAAAAAAGGCCCACTCAAAGCTATATCATTTACCAATAGAAACATCCAAGCTACCACTTTCTGAAGTTTGAATAAAGGCCGGACATTGCTACTCTCCTTCTTCTCATCATTTCCAGGGACAAAAAAAGACAGGTATTTCACACACTGAATTAGACAGAAAATGCGTTTTTGTAGGAGTTAAAAAATGCACATCAACCTTCCAGAGTGGAAATCTTCAATCACGCTCACTCTATGCGTCCCTTCGAAACTGATAAAAAAGTACATTTCAACTAGGGCTAGTAGCTGTAAATTCTACACTGCAAAAACCGCCCTCGAAAGTTTATGTGGACTAACCCCAAGTAGGCGTACATTTTATTCATCATGAATCAAATAAGACAACCTGGACGAAGTTGAAAACTTAAAACTTAAAAAGAAACATAAAAAAAGAATTGTGCGATGAACTTACGTGCTGAGACAGTTCCTGACACGACATTCATTTTGGTAGAACTACTGAGTTCTGTGCTAAGATTTGAAGTAGCAGTGTTTGCTGTTGGAACAGAGCTTTGATTGGTAAACACAAGAGTCATATCAACAGCTACCGATCCACTCCTGTAATTACAATCCAGAATATATATTATACAGCAAGTCTTTAGAATGACTATCACAAAGTAGTTCACTGTTCCTTACTTGAAAGTATTAATCAAGCTTCGACTGTAAGTTGATCCATACAATTTTCTGCATGCAGCATTAACCTGTTAACAGTTAGAATATAATTGTTATGATACTGAAACAAGAAATGTAAAATAAACCACACATACACAATTGTCATACCTCACTAATTACAGTTGAAGCTAAGGCTTTATATTCAGCTGAGGATGAGTTAAGAAGATCTGATGTAAATGTTTGATTCAGTTTAAAAGTGAGGCCGAGTGTCCCTTCGCTGGAGGTTGCTGGATTGGTGTTGGCGTTTGTTGTTGTAGAAGCTGTGGCGTTTGTTGGTGGGGCAGCTGTGGCGTTTGTTGGTGGGGCAGCTGTGGCGTTCGTTGATGGGGCAGCTGTGGCGTTTGTTGGTGGGGCAGCTGTGGCGTTCGTTGGTGGGGCAGATGTGGCGTTTGTTGGTGGGGCAGCTGTGGCGTTCGTTGGTGGGGCAGATGTGGCGTTTGTTGGTGGGGCAGCTGTGGCGTTTGTTGGTGGGGCAGCTGTGGCGTTTGTTGTTGGGGCCACTGTGGCATTTGTTGGAGGGGCAGCTGTGGCGTTTGTGGGCGGGGCAGCTGTGGAATTAGTGGGCGGAGCAGCAGTAGCATTAGTGGGTGGGGCAACAGTGGCATTTGTCGGTGGAGCAGCTGTGGCGTTTGTTGGTGGGGCAGCTGTGGCATTTGTTGGTGGGGCAGATGTGGCGTTTGTTGGTGGGGCAGCTGTGGCGTTCGTTGGTGGGGCAGATGTGGCGTTTGTTGGTGGGGCAGCTGTGGCGTTCGTTGGTGGGGCAGATGTGGCGTTTGTTGGTGGGGCAGCTGTGGCGTTTGTTGGTGGGGCAGCTGTGGCGTTTGTTGTTGGGGCCACTGTGGCATTTGTTGGAGGGGCAGCTGTGGCGTTTGTGGGCGGGGCAGCTGTGGAATTAGTGGGCGGAGCAGCAGTAGCATTAGTGGGTGGGGCAACAGTGGCATTTGTCGGTGGAGCAGCTGTGGCGTTTGTTGGTGGGGCAGCTGTGGCATTTGTTGGTGGGGCAGATGTGGCGTTTGTTGGTGGGGCAGCTGTGGCGTTTGTTGGTGGGGCCACTGTGGCATTTGTTGGAGGGGCAGCTGTGGCGTTTGTGGGCGGGGCAGCTGTGGAATTAGTGGGCGGAGCAGCAGTAGCATTAGTGGGTGGGGCAACAGTGGCATTTGTCGGTGGAGCAGCTGTGGCGTTTGTTGGTGGGGCAGCTGTGGCATTAGTGGGTGGAGCAGCTGTGGCATTTGTGGGTGGAGCAGCTGTAACATTGATTGATGAGAAGTAGAATATGTGTTAATTGTTTGTGGTCATTTTAATTTACAAATATTTTTTCTTTAGTGAGTTTCTTACGTGTCTTGTCAGTAGTTGGAGCTGTTGTTGTTGTTTCCACAACTAATGAATACAAAGTTGAAATGATTTTGTCTTATTTAATGAAAAAATGTCCTTGGGGTAAATACTCACCACTTGTAGTAATGCTTGATGTATTCACATTCAGAGAAAAGTTTGAACTGGACGCTGCTTCCACCATGGTTTCAGACACAGATGTTACGTTTGGCACTGTGTTTTCTTTATTAAATATCAATTCAGTTTCAACATTCACTGATCCTTTTCTGCATAGAAACAACATAAAAAAGTTAATTCTCTAAAGAGAAAAAAATGTAAAATATGTAATTGGTAAAACATACTTGAAACCCTTCACAATTGTGCGGTTGAAAGAAGACCCAAATTTGGCGATGAAAACCTTATCCAGCTGTAGATACAATGTTGAATTAAATGTGTGTATAAGGGTGATGTCATGATACAGCTTCAATACAATGATCACTTACAGCTTCTGTGACTTTTTTCTCCAGTGCTTTGAACTCTGGTGAGGATTTGTTTTCAAGGCTCGGTTGGAAGGTTTCGTCCAACTTGAAATCCAGCTTTATTTTTGGTTCCAGTTTTGGAGCTGATGGTGTAGTAACAGGTGCAGCTGTGGCATTTGTAGGTGGAGCAGCCGTAGCATTAGTGGGCGGGGCAGCTGTGGCATTTGTTGGTGGGGCAGCTGTGGCATTAGTGGGCGGAGCAGCTGTGGCGTTTGTCGGCGGGGCAGCTGTGGCGTTAGTGGGTGGAGCAGCTGTGGCATTAGTGGGCGGAGCAGCTGTGGCGTTAGTGGGTGGAGCAGCTGTAGCATTAGTGGGTGGAGCAGCTGTGGCATTTGTGGGTGGAGCAGCAGTGGCATTTGTGGGTGGAGCAACAGTGGCATTTGTGGGTGGAGCAGCTGTTGCATTTGTTGGTGGAGCAGCTGTAGCATTAGTGGGTGGAGCAGCTGTGGCATTTGTGGGTGGAGCAGCTGTGGCATTTGTGGGTGGAGCAGCTGTCGCATTTGTGGGTGGAGCAGCTGTGGCGTTTGTTGGTGGAGCAGCTGTAGCATTAGTGGGTGGAGCAGCTGTGGCATTTGTGGGTGGAGCAACAGTGGCATTTGTGGGTGGAGCAGCAGTGGCATTTGTGGGTGGAGCAACAGTGGCATTTGTGGGTGGAGCAGCTGTTGCATTTGTTGGTGGAGCAGCTGTAGCATTAGTGGGTGGAGCAGCTGTGGCATTTGTGGGTGGAGCAGCTGTGGCATTTGTGGGTGGAGCAGCTGTCGCATTTGTGGGTGGAGCAGCTGTGGCGTTTGTTGGTGGAGCAGCTGTAGCATTAGTGGGTGGAGCAGCTGTGGCATTAGTGGGTGGAGCAGCTGTGGCATTTGTGGGTGGAGCAGCAGTGGCATTTGTGGGTGGAGCAACAGTGGCATTTGTGGGTGGAGCAGCTGTTGCATTTGTTGGTGGAGCAGCTGTAGCATTAGTGGGTGGAGCAGCTGTGGCATTTGTGGGTGGAGCAGCTGTGGCATTTGTGGGTGGAGCAGCTGTCGCATTTGTGGGTGGAGCAGCTGTGGCGTTTGTTGGTGGAGCAGCTGTAGCATTAGTGGGTGGAGCAGCTGTGGCATTTGTGGGTGGAGCAACAGTGGCATTTGTGGGTGGAGCAGCTGTCGCATTTGTGGGTGGAGCAGCTGTGGCATTTGTGGGTGGAGCAGCAGTGGCATTAGTGGGTGGAGCAGCTGTGGCATTTGTGGGTGGAGCAGCTGTCGCATTTGTGGGTGGAGCAGCCGTAGCATTAGTGGGCGGAGCAGCTGTGGCGTTTGTTGGTGGAGCAGCTGTAGCATTAGTGGGTGGAGCAGCTGTGGCATTGGTGGGTGGAGCAGCAGTGGCATTTGTGGGTGGAGCAGCTGTCGCATTTGCAGGTGGAGCAGCTGTGGCGTTTGTTGGTGGAGCAGCTGTAGCATTAGTGGGTGGAGCAGCTGTGGCATTTGTGGGTGGAGCAACAGTGGCATTTGTGGGTGGAGCAGCTGTCGCATTTGTGGGTGGAGCAGCCGTAGCATTCGTGGGCGGAGCAGCTGTGGCGTTTGTTGGTGGAGCAGCTGTGGCATTTGTGGGCGGAGCATCTGTAACATTGATTGATGAGAAGTAGAATATGTGTTAATTGTCTGTGGTCATTTTAATTTACAAATATTTTTTCTAGAATTAGTTTCTTACTTGTCTTGTCAGTAGTTGGAGCTGTTGTTGGAGTTTCCACAACTAATAAATACAAAAGTTAGAATGATTTTGTCTGATTTAAAGGAACAATATGTAAAAATCTGGCCAAAAGTGGTACTGCAGTCACAGTCAATATTTTGTAGTCCTCTCCCACTCTCCCTGACTCAGGTTGCCAGATACACACCAAATCCAGCAGCAAACACAGGGAATTATTTTATCAGTTGTTTGTCTGTCTCTCACATTGCCATGAGGCATGCTAATGTTGAATGAATGTTTAATTTTTTATTTTTTATTTGGACATTTGAGATAAAAAACACAAAACAAAATAAAAGCAATGTAATTATAGATTATCCAAAATATATAAGCAATTGACGTCCAAAATAGGAGTGGGAAGAATGGATGTTGAAACGTATTTCTTCAGCGTATCAACATCAGGGTTTGCTCAAGAGGATATCACCTTTCAATCTTATTTATTCCCTATGTTTTAGTCAAAGAAGTATAAGTCCCACATCAAAAAGAGACTAACATTATTTTAATTGGGGTACATGTGGTCTTAAATTATTCTTTTTACAATTAAGCTATAATCTGCAAAAAAGGTCTTGACCTTCGTCTTTTACCGTTTTTAGAGCAATCTGTCAAAACGGCGGAGGGTAGGACATCAAAATTAAACCAATAACATATTTTACGGGTCGTAAAACTAATTTTGATATTCAAATATCTCGGCTGAACTACTGTTATCAGTTAAAGATGTATTCGAAAAGAGCATGATTTAATAAAGCCTTTTGAAATATGGGGGCCATTTAATGATGACTTGACATGCAAATATTACATACTGCTACTTTAATAAAAAGATCTCCTTGGGGTAAATACTCACCACTTGTAGTAATGCTTGATGTATTCACACTGAGAGAAAAGTTTGAACTGGACGATGCTTTCACCATGGTTTCAGACACAGATGTTACGTTTGGCACTGTGTTTTCTTCATTAAATATCAATTCAGTTTCAACTTTCACTGATCCTTCTCTGCATAGAAACAACATAAAAAAGTTAATTCTCTAGAGAGAAAAACATGTAAAATATGTAATCGGTAAAACATACTTGAAACCCTTCACAATTGTGCGGTTGAAAGAAGACCCAAATTTGGCGATGAAAACCTTATCCAGCTGTAGATACAATGTTGAATTAAATGTGTGTATAAGGGTGATGTCATGATACAGCTTCAATACAATGATCACTTACAGCTTCTGTGACTTTTTTCTCCAGTGCTTTGAACTCTGGTGAGGATTTGTTTTCAAGGCTCGGTTGGAAGGTTTCGACCAACTTGAAATCCAGCTTTATTTTCGGCTCCAGTTTTGGAGCTGATGTTGTGGTAACAGGAGCAGCTGTGGCATTTGTAGGTGGAGCAGCCGTAGCATTAGTGGGCGGGGCAGCTGTGGCGTTTGTTGGTGGGGAAGCTGTGGCGTTTGTTGGTGGGGCAGCTGTGGCATTCGTGGGCAGAGCAGCTGTGGCGTTTGTCGGTGGGGCAGCTGTGGCGTTAGTGGGTGGAGCAGCTGTGGCATTAGTGGGTGGAGCAGCTGTGGCGTTTGTCGGTGGAGCAGCAGTGGCATTTGTGGGTGGAGCAACAGTGGCATTTGTGGGTGGAGCAGCTGTTGCATTTGTGGGTGGAGCAGCCGTAGCATTCGTGGGCGGAGCAACAGTGGCATTTGTGGGTGGAGTAGCTGTCGCATTTGTGGGTGGAGCAGCCGTAGCATTCGTGGGCGGAGCAGCTGTGGCGTTTGTTGGTGGAGCAGCTGTGGCATTAGTGGGCGGGGCAGCTGTGGCATTTGTCGCTGGAGCAGCTGTGGCATTAGTGGGTGGAGCAGCTGTGGCATTCGTAGGCGGAGCAGCTGTGGCGTTTGTCGGTGGATCAGCTGTGGCATTTGTTAGTGGAGCAGCTGTGGCATTTGTTGGCGGAGCAGCTGTCGCATTTGTGGGTGGAGCAGCTGTCGCATTTGTGGGTGGAGCAGCCGTAGCATTAGTGGGCGGAGCAGCTGTGGCGTTTGTTGGTGGAGCAGCTGTAGCATTAGTGGGTGGAGCAGCTGTGGCATTGGTGGGTGGAGCAGCAGTGGCATTTGTGGGTGGAGCAGCTGTTGCATTTGTGGGTGGAGCAGCCGTAGCATTCGTGGGCGGAGCAACAGTGGCATTTGTGGGTGGAGTAGCTGTCGCATTTGTGGGTGGAGCAGCCGTAGCATTCGTGGGCGGAGCAGCTGTGGCGTTTGTTGGTGGAGCAGCTGTGGCATTAGTGGGCGGGGCAGCTGTGGCATTTGTCGCTGGAGCAGCTGTGGCATTAGTGGGTGGAGCAGCTGTGGCATTCGTAGGCGGAGCAGCTGTGGCGTTTGTCGGTGGATCAGCTGTGGCATTTGTTAGTGGAGCAGCTGTGGCATTTGTTGGCGGAGCAGCTGTCGCATTTGTGGGTGGAGCAGCTGTCGCATTTGTGGGTGGAGCAGCCGTAGCATTAGTGGGCGGAGCAGCTGTGGCGTTTGTTGGTGGAGCAGCTGTAGCATTAGTGGGTGGAGCAGCTGTGGCATTGGTGGGTGGAGCAGCAGTGGCATTTGTGGGTGGAGCAGCTGTCGCATTTGCAGGTGGAGCAGCTGTGGCGTTTGTTGGTGGAGCAGCTGTAGCATTAGTGGGTGGAGCAGCTGTGGCATTTGTGGGTGGAGCAACAGTGGCATTTGTGGGTGGAGCAGCTGTCGCATTTGTGGGTGGAGCAGCCGTAGCATTCGTGGGCGGAGCAGCTGTGGCGTTTGTTGGTGGAGCAGCTGTGGCATTTGTGGGCGGAGCAGCTGTAACATTGATTGATGAGAAGTAGAATATGTGTTAATTGTCTGTGGGCATTTTAATTAACAAATATTTTTTCTAGAATCAGTTTCTTACTTGTCTTGTCAGTATTTGGAGCTGTTGTTGGAGTTTCCACAACTAATAAATACAAAAGTTAGAATGATTTTGTCTGATTTAAAGGAACAATATGTAAAAATCTGGCCAAAAGTGGTACTGCAGTCACAGTCAATATTTTGTAGTCCTCTCCTCTCCCTGACTCAGGTTGCCAGATACATACCAAATCCAGCAGCAAACACAGGGAATTATTTTATCAGTTGTTTGTCTGTATCCATTCACATTGTCATGAGGCATGCTAATGTTGAATGAATGTTTAATTTTTTATTTTTTATTTGGACATTTGAGATAAAAAACACAAAACAAAATAAAAGCAATGTAATTATAGATTATCCAAAATATATAAGCAATTGACGTCCAAAATAGGAGTGGGAAGAATGGATGTTGAAACGTATTTCTTTAGCGTATCAACATCAGGGTTTGCTCAAGAGGATATCACCTTTTAATTTTATTTATTCCCTATGTTTTAGTCAAACAAGTATAAGTCCCACATCAAAAAGAGACTAACATTATTTGAATTGGGGTACATGTGGTCTTAAATTATTCTTTTTACAATTAAGCTATAATCTGCAAAAAAGGTCTTGACCTTCGTCTTTTACCGTTTTTAGAGCAATCTGTCAAAACGGCGGAGGGTAGGACATCAAAATTAAACCAATAACATATTTTACGGGTCGTAAAACTAATTTAGATATTCAAATATCTCGGCTGAACTACTGTTATCAGTTAAAGATGTATTCGAAAAGAGCATGATTTAATAAAGCCTTTTGAAATATGGGGGCCATTTAATGATGACTTGACATGCAAATATTACATACTGCTACTTTAATAAAAAGATCTCCTTGGGGTAAATACTCACCACTTGTAGTAATGCTTGATGTATTCACACTGAAAGAAAAGTTTGAACTGGACGATGCTTTCACCATGGTTTCAGACACAGATGTTACGTTTGGCACTGTGTTTTCTTTATTAAATATCAATTCAGTTTCAACTTTCACTGATCCTTCTCTGCATAGAAAAACATAAAAAAGTTAATTCTCTAAAGAGAAAAAAATTTAAAATATGTAATCGGTAAAACATACTTGAAACCCTTCACAATTGTGCGGTTGAAAGAAGACCCAAATTTGGCGATGAAAACCTTATCCAGCTGTAGATACAATGTTGAATTAAATGTGTGTATAAGGGTGATGTCATGATACAGCTTCAATACAATGATCACTTACAGCTTCTGTGACTTTTTTCTCCAGTGCTTTGAACTCTGGTGAGGATTTGTTTTCAAGGCTCGGTTGGAAGGTTTCGACCAACTTGAAATCCAGCTTTATTTTCGGCTCCAGTTTTGGAGCTGATGTTGTGGTAACAGGAGCAGCTGTGGCATTTGTGGGTGGGGCAGCTGTGGCGTGTGTTGGTGGGTTAGCTGTGGCGTTTGTTAGTGGAGCAGCTGTGGCGTTCGTTGGTGGGGCAGCTGTGGCATTCGTTGGTGGGGCAGCTGTGGCGTTCGTGGGCGGAGCAGCTGTGGCATTAGTGGGTGGAGCAGCTGTGGCATTCGTAGGCGGAGCAGCTGTGGCGTTTGTCGGTGGAGCAGCTGTGGCATTCGTTGGTGGATCAGCTGTGGCATTTGTTAGTGGAGCAGCTGTGGCATTTGTTGGCGAGGCAGCTGTGGTATTTTTTGGCGGAGCAGCTGTGGCATTTGTTGGTGGTGCAGCTGTGGCGTTTGTTGGTGGAGCATCTGTAGCGTTTGTTGGTGGTGCAGCTGTGGCATTTGTTGGTGGAGCAGCTGTGGCATTACTGGCCGGAGCGGCTGTGGCATTCGTAGGCGGAGCAGCTGTGGCGTTTGTCGGTGGAGCAGCTGTGGCGTTGGTTGGTGGAGCAGCTGTGGCATTTGTTAGTGGTGTAGCTGTGGCATTTGTTGGCGGGGCAGCTGTGATATTTGTTGGTGGAGCAGCTGTGGCATTTGTTAGTGGAGCAGCTGTGGCATTTGTTGGTGGGGCAGCTGTGGCGTTCGTTGGTGGGGCAGCTGTGGCGTTCGTTGGTGGGGACACTGTGGCATTTGTTGGAGGGGCAGCTGTGGCATTAGTGGGCGGAGCAGCCGTAGCATTAGTTGGCGGGTCAGCTGTGGCGTTTGTTGGTGGGGCAGCTGTGGCATTCGTGGGCAGAGCAGCTGTGGCGTTTGTCGGTGGGGCAGCTGTGGCGTTAGTGGGTGGAGCAGCTGTGGCATTAGTGGGTGGATCAGCTGTGGCATTTGTGGGTGGAGCAGCAGTGGCATTTGTGGGTGGAGCAACAGTGGCATTTGTGGGTGGAGCAGCCGTAGCATTCGTGGGCGGGGCAACAGTGGCATTTGTGGGTGGAGTAGCTGTCGCATTTGTGGGTGGAGCAGCCGTAGCATTCGTGGGCGGAGCAGCTGTGGCGTTTGTTGGTGGAGCAGCTGTGGCATTAGTGGGCGGGGCAGCTGTGGCATTTGTCGCTGGAGCAGCTGTGGCATTAGTGGGTGGAGCAGCTGTGGCATTCGTAGGCGGAGCAGCTGTGGCGTTTGTCGGTGGATCAGCTGTGGCATTTGTTAGTGGAGCAGCTGTGGCATTTGTTGGCGGAGCAGCTGTCGCATTTGTGGGTGGAGCAGCCGTAGCATTCGTGGGCGGAGCAACAGTGGCATTAGTGGGCGGAGCAGCCGTAGCATTAGTTGGCGGGTCAGCTGTGGCGTTTGTTGGTGGGGCAGCTGTGGCATTCGTGGGCAGAGCAGCTGTGGCGTTTGTCGGTGGGGCAGCTGTGGCGTTAGTGGGTGGAGCAGCTGTGGCATTAGTGGGTGGATCAGCTGTGGCATTTGTGGGTGGAGCAGCAGTGGCATTTGTGGGTGGAGCAACAGTGGCATTTGTGGGTGGAGCAGCTGTTGCATTTGTGGGTGGAGCAGCCGTAGCATTCGTGGGCGGAGCAACAGTGGCATTTGTGGGTGGAGTAGCTGTCGCATTTGTGGGTGGAGCAGCCGTAGCATTCGTGGGCGGAGCAGCTGTGGCGTTTGTTGGTGGAGCAGCTGTGGCATTAGTGGGCGGGGCAGCTGTGGCATTTGTCGCTGGAGCAGCTGTGGCATTAGTGGGTGGAGCAGCTGTGGCATTCGTAGGCGGAGCAGCTGTGGCGTTTGTCGGTGGATCAGCTGTGGCATTTGTTAGTGGAGCAGCTGTGGCATTTGTGGGTGGAGCAGCTGTCGCATTTGTGGGTGGAGCAGCCGTAGCATTCGTGGGCGGAGCAACAGTGGCATTTGTGGGTGGAGTAGCTGTGGCGTTCGTTGGTGGAGCAGCTGTGGCATTTGTTGGCAGTGCAGCTGTGGCATTTGTGGCCGGAGCAGCTGTGAAAAAAGCAGATTCTGTGTTAGTGGAATGTATCCATCCAGAGAGCTGTGACAAGATTTGTTAAAGAAGATTAATTAAAGAGAACCATATAGCTTTGGTAAATATGCCTTCAGCGAAAGTACTTTTGTTTCTTGTTAATTGTTTGATTTGTCAGGACTGAAATGACTTGAAATTTGAGTCACTTTACCTGTTGTTGCATTTTCTGCTGATGCACCTATTATACCTGCCAAGGCACAAAGAAGAATCAATTTATACAAGTATTTAAATTAAGTGGTTTAAAAAACAGACAGACCCTCATTACCTGCCAGCAGGACAACAAGTGTGAAAGGTTCCATCTGCAAAATCACAAATATTTAGTTCCCAGGTGAAAAACTAGGTTGGAATTCATCATACTTAATACAATGGCATTTAAGTACCAGGCAGCACTTAGGAAGAAAAAAATATTTTGCGCCATCTCTGAATTTTTAGAGTGGCTCCGAAAATCCGTCCTTTCCCCAATTTGTGACTCACAGGACTCTTCCATAAATGTATGCAAAAATGTTTTTAAAATACGCAATAAGATGAAGACATTTAACATTTGGGCCCCAACTTTAATTCAGTGAGCTTTAGACGAGCTTCAGAAGAAGGCACAGGGATACATGAACACTCCCTGAAGCACAGCATGGGGGAATTACGCTTGGTTGGTTGAGAGCAATATATGCAAACTTACACAACACTATCAAATGTGGAGCACCACATGGTTCAATATGAGGTCCTCTTTTTATGCATTACCAAAATAATCATCTTGCCAAACTTATAATGTTGCATACAATCATCCTTGCTGATGACACAAACTTGTACGTGTCTCACAAAAAAACATGGAACATTATCAGAAAACAATAAATAAGGAACTGATTAAAGTTGACATCTGGTTAAAATCTAATTAAGGATCTCTTAAAGAGAAATCTTCATCTTTCATTTTTAAGAGGCAGCATAATGCCTCAGTTCAATTTATGATGTAGCACCAATTTGTCACGCGATACCAAGCTGCAAAAGCCCGCCTCAAGGAGGTGAGTTTCAGATCTGTAGGTCTGAGCCTGTGGCTAGGGGTCATCGAAATCACCCCAAACGAAGATGAGTGACAAAAACAGTGAGTTTTTATTTCCGAAAATATCTAACTTTCTTTGGAGAATTGTATAACTTCAATCCATCCAGATTAAATAAAAATTAGGCATTAAAAGCACAATTGGCGTTGAAATGAGTGGTAGCCATATACACTGTAAAAAACAAACTATCTAACAGCAGCAAGGACCTTAAATGGCACCAAAAGGAGGCAACACATAATTCCAGTGTTACAATCACTCCACTGGCTTACTACACCGGAGTATAGAATCAAATATAAAACCCTTCTTTTAACACACAAAGCCATAAATGACATGGCTCCCTCCTACCTCCAAGACATGTTAGTGTCATACCAACCAAACCGAGCATTGCGTGGAATCTGATGGTTCCTAAAGTGTCAAAAATAACACTGAGCATTTCCTCATGGAACAGCTGTGATTCTACGAATTAAAGATTACACACTTGCAGGCTCTGTTTAATTGTTAGGACAAGGTTTGAGATTTCAGATGTTATTAGGACTGTTTTAATGGTAAATATAATCCACTCAAACTAATTGCCTGCATGCCCCGTTTTCCTATTTTTGAAATAATAAGTATATCGTTTATCTTTTTTTTTTCATTTGTCTGTTACTTGAGGGTGAACTTTCAGTAAAAATAAAACATGAAAATAACAAAAAACACCACTGTAAAAGATAAATGCCGTTAGTTTGTTATCGGAGAGATAAGAAAATCTAGAGAGCAATAGCACAGTGGACTGTGTATTTGATACAATAATAATTTGCATGCTCTTAGCAAAACCATAATTCACATCATGAATACTTCAGAGGGAATTCTTTCACATGTCAAAAACATCTGCGTGATACGTAAAATGTGATGCAATAATCCTAAATCATGAAATAAGTGCAATTATAAAGTGAATTTCTACCACTGAACAAATAGTATTGTATCAGCAACTCCCATTGTAATGTTTGTCTTATTTATTCATTCATCTTTCTGGTATTACTTTAAATATATTAAAATCTTTGGTTTAGAACAAGCATGGAAATCCATCTAAGTTGCGTTTTAACAAAAATGGAGAAATCCAACCCGGGGTAACTTTGGGTGAATCCATTACAAGACTCATTATGTGTGGAATTAGGATTGGAGATGAGTGGAAGACGGCAAAAATGCACAAGCTGTCTTCCAATAACTTGTCAATGATGTTTTGTGCGACATCCTAAACAAGTTTATTTTTACTTCCCTGAACAACATTTTGAGTCTTTGTCAAGGCTGACAAATGTACATTTCACAAACCCAAAGTTAGGTTTCTTGGTTATGTTATTGAAGACGAAAAACTGGCTATTGCAGATTGGCCTACACCCAACATCATGTAAACTGCAAATTTTTACAAATGTTTTGTTAGAACTTACAGCAGGGTTGCATTCATATGTGAATTGGGTGGTAGTCCGACCCAGAAATGGATCAAGGGGATGAAAATTGGTGGATGGATAGTAGGATGCACTGTACGGGTGTCAATACAAGTTATATTGGGCTGGGTGATCTGAGAAATAAAAATAATCATTATACATTGTAAAGATGTTTTATATGATTGTATTTTCAATTGTTATAATTATTTACAATGAAAACTATCTTTATATATCTTCATATATATATATTATATATATATAAGAAAGTTTTCATTGTATTTTCAATTGTTATTATTATTTATAATCATATAAAACATCTTTACAATATTAAAATGTTTATTAATTTGAACTTTTATTAATAAAAGGGTATTTAATTATTGTAAATGCTGTCTGTTCCTGGCTCAACGCTTCAGTCCCATGAATGGTGCGTCTCTATTTTATTGCTTGATCTTGAATGAAGATTGAATTGCTATTTATTATTTATTTTCAGCACAACCCTACAGTACATACACTAATAGTAATTAATTAATGATAACAATAAAAGTCTTACCCTATTTTAGTCCCTGAGTCCCAAACTCTTCAATTCACTGCATGAGTAGGTACGTCCTCATGTACGTCCAAAGTAAAATGAGAGTTTCCTGCAGTAGAAAGGTTTTAAGGTTGTCTGAGAGGGGACCAGAAATTCTGGCCTGTTCTAGTTGACTTGAAAAACTTGTTTCCATGTAAGTGAAAAAAAGGAAGAAAAAAAACACACGCTAAAGGTACATGGCAGCCTCTGATAAACTATTTTGGATATTTTAGAAATGCATTCTTCTTTCTATACTGTGGAAAGTCCTTAATGTTGAGTTACTGCTGTAGACTGAATACTCAGTAACAGAACTGACTTACTGTAATAGATAATGGAATAGATATATAGCAAATCACATTCTTATGTATATTTTCATATTTTACTTGATTTACGGGAAGGGAGTATTTGATCACAGAAAACACAACTTACTACTTCTTGATCTGATCCATGGATCTATTACAATAATAGGATAGGTTATTACTAGCTTATAGCTGTTCCACCCATGGGTGCTCAGGGCACCCGCTGTACTACAGACTAAATTCACATGGGCTACCCAGAATAAACTAAAACAGCTCGACCTCTGCTGACAGATCTACAGCTTTCATAATGGTTGGATTTTTCGGGGATTTAAGTGTCCCTTGCCATCCTGAACTTTTTCCGCTTTTTCATGCTAACGATACGGCACGGCACGGTACAGAACGGCACAGCGCGGTTATTTGCATTTCCACTAGGGTTGGGCTAGGGATCAGGGTACTTTTTTGCACAACTTCGACAGTGGTTCCAAGTGTGCCCAAGCTACACCACAACGTGACGTCAGCCGACTGCCTCACACTGATTGGTCAACAAGTCTTGTCACTGGAAGCGACGTCCGACCCTATGGTAAAAATAACTCAACCCTGCCTTCTTTAAAACCGGCTGCTCTTCTATAATAATAATAAATCCGCCTCACTCGAGAGAAATGGAATCGCACACAAAGCTCCAAAAGTCAATGTCCTCGTCAGTCAACGATGTCCACACATTACTCTCTTTAGGCCAAAGAAAGAATTCAAAGGCAGCTCAACGGCTCAACACGAAACGAGAAGGTTTTCAGGGAGATCGCCCAGCTCTTGATTTGTGACTAGTCTGTGGTAATCCTGGAAATAAGCTCTCACTGAAATGTATTTACTCCTGTAAAAGTTTGATTGTCTGTTGTACACAGTGAGCTAGCTACATTTAGCTATCGATAGCAAGCTAAGCTAAAACGTCCTTCCTGTGTTAATGTGCTGTGTTTTGCTATTTCACATGTTGCCTTTCTGTTTTGTGCTTGTACTGAAGTTGTCGTGTGTATATTTATTTGTTTGAGAATCCCTTCCCACAAGTGAGGAGATTACCAACGAGCAATGAGTGACCACTTGTCCCCTCACCCGGTCTCAAGAGACATACGTACTTTGATCTTTGTTAATTGTTGGTTTTGCACTTTACTTTTGGTTTTAATTAAATCTGTGATTGTGTCAAGACTTTGTTTCATTGATTTGTCTGTACACATGCAGAAAAGGGTTTGAAAAGCTTTTTTTTAAACTTGCATTTACATTACATACATTATGTGTCAGTAAATCCGTATAACCTTGGATGGAGGATGGAGACATATTACAAAAAGGTTTTATTTTTGGTCAAAACACAAGGGAAAAATAAATGTTTAGGCATATGATTATTATCATATTTTACTTTTTTACTTCTTATTGCTCCTTCTTTGAGTTGTGTCAGGATATTAGGCACACACATACTTACGGTAACACAAGTTTGATTCTCTATTTTGATACATTTAGACATATTCAGTGAACGATATTCCCTTTATGGGAAGTTAACAGCTGAGCAGAAATATAACATCTTTACGCAACAATATCTTGTGGTCTTGTCTAGTATATCAAACGCTTTTTGAAGATCTACAAAAATGCTTACTAAATAGGGCTTTTTGTCTAGAGCATTGGTGATCTCTTCAATTATTTCCATT